CATCCTTTTCTCAGCCTAAACTCTTTGGCTTGTGTGTCCAACTCAGCTTGCAGATAAAGCACTTGGCAAGAATTGAACATGAAAGTGAATCCTGCCTCTGGAAGGCTTAGTAAAGGGTTGCAGTCTGGGTGATAGTTGTTTAGCTGGCCTTTCCAATCCCTTTATTTCTCTCTGCAATCAAATAACTTCTGATGAATACAATGAAGTGTCACTTAACAATTGTGTTGATTGATATTGTAATGATTATGGCATTTATTTAATCAAGGAATATTGTAACTGTGTAAAACGATTTATCAATGCTTCAATCAAATCAAATCAAATCAAGTTTTATTTATATAGCACATTTATAAACGATTTTTGGTCGAGACAAAGTGCTATGCATATAATAAAAATAGCATACAGTAGACACACTTTACAGCTAATACAACAGATTGTTCAGAATATCAGTATGAGAAAAACGACACCCTCTATCCTTATGGATCCTCAATACTTTTGCTGTAGCAATGTAAATTCCGCCTCTGTTAGTTTGAATAAAATTATTCTGGTTCTGATTCCAAATCCTGTATTAGAGCCTATCTCCGGGTAATGCTAAAAGGGATTACCCAATTCGGTGCATGTGCTTCCTATGCACTGAACAATAGGCCATTTGATACCAAAAGTCCCTCTGCAGCCTCTGTTCTTGCATTAACCCTAAAGTCTGCTTCACACTGGACAAGGAGGTGTCATGCTATGTCAGTCATAAGATAAGATAAGGTGAGATGAGATAAGATAAGAAGTACTTTATTGATCCCAATTTGGGAAATGTTTGCGTTCAATCATCGAGAGAGCTCTGGTCTGGCTGTTCACACCATAACATTTATCAGATCATTTCAATCATATATATGTTATCAGTATATAGTATTATATATATTGAGTGTTGTCTTGCCTTTTTTGCTTTCGGCAAAAGTAGAACAAATACCAGACATGGCCAACGAAAGGACACGGGCAGCGGTCCTTAGAAAATCACTGCACTTCTGCTTACAGTGAGACCACGGGGTCACTTTGCCCGAGACAGAGTGCAGCCAATCTCCTTTGACCTTGGTCTTCTAAACGCAGACAGTACAGCTTTATCAGCTGCCATCCCAGCAGACAGCAATGGACATATTGCTCTGAAAGAGACAGAGGTATTCAATTATAAATCCCATTGGTGTATTCCTTAAACATCTACTAAAATGTTGCCCCGCCATTTTCCAGATAGTTAAATATTCATATCATCGTTATTGCATTCTTGAAGTTAAAGTGGATGTTAAGCCATTAGGGATGTAAGGTTCATAGTGAGTGATAAAAATAATATTACATTACCTTGGCTAGCAGAGGTATGAGTCTGTTATATGATTACAAAAATAAAATCTAATGTGGATTAAGTAGGGTGTGTCCTGGTGAGTCAGCGTAAGGTACTGAACACGTGAAGGAAATGTCCAAATTTGAGCCCAAACCGACTACTTTAGTATTTTCAGTCTTCCTGACGCTGGATACCTCCACATGACTAATAAAATCAATATGCCCAATCATAGTTAAAACAAAAATGAAAGAAGATGTTTAGACAAAAACACAGGCATAAAAAAGTGGTTGAAGGAACCTCTTTGTTTAGGTAAGCGCCCGTCTACAGGACAGGCGTCTGCCAGCGAGCCACACTGACCAACTGGAAAAAATCAGCAAGCTGCCTCCAGACAAACTGGTGTGGAAAGAGAAAAAAAAAGTTACAGAATGTTAGAAACTAAACGCAGCATGATAGACAGTCAGACAGTCAGAAACACTGATCTAGAAAACAAACACTGAAGCACTAAAACCAAAAAGCCTAATTTATTACATATTAAATGTATTAAATGCTTGAGAGGGGTTTATTATTTAAAATAGAGAAGGTCATACCAGGTCATTAAACACCTATTATTAACAGTTTCAGTCTGTCTGTCAGTCAGTCAAGCTTTGTGTCTATGCCCTCCATTTAAATGATGGAGAATCAAAGAAAAGATATAAAGGGACATTAAGCATTACATTTCAAAGGACGGTCACACTGGGCCATTAAACACAGGGGAACAAACTTGAAGTCTGTCCCAGTGTCAGTGTAGTTGTATTTGAGTTTTACTGGTCTTCTGTGGACACTGGACAGGATCATAATTTTACAAATTCTAACAGAAAAACATGGTATGACTTTGATATTTTACTGTCTTTCATATTTTATGAAACTGACTGGGCAGTCTGGACTTCCAGCAGATTTGATAGGTAAGATAAAAGCAGAATGTATAGGTAAAGAGTCTGCACTAGATTCTTCTTAAAATATTGTGTTTTTCAGATTATTGAATAACTTCAATCAACAAAGAGACTTTCGCATACTTCTTGTATTTTGTACATCTAGGTTGTTTTTGTAAAAACTGTTTCAAGTCATTACTCAGTTTAGGGGTTTGTGTACAAACTGGAGAAACATAGAGTATTTATTGCTTACGAAATAACGAAAGGCAATTCTCTATACTGCATGTGCTGACTCAAAAGCTCTTCTCACAGGGATTATGCATATTGCTGATTACTGGGATATGCTTTGCTGTTGTGTACACACTTATTCATCGTCCTCTTTGTACTCCCTGATTGAGATCAGCTACCTCCAATGCTTGGCAATAAAGATGAAAACTGCATTGATCTATCGCTGCAAAGGACTCCAAAGCAGAGTCAAAGGATTTCCTTTCATGTGCAAAATATACTGAGTATATTTTGCATGGCTGCTGTGAATGCTGAATATCATTGTGCTACATCAATGAGAGATTGTATCCATTTCCTTCTCAGACTTTTAGTTCATGTGATCTTGTGTCAAGCTTGAACATGTTCATCTTCACCTTACAGCCCTAGATTAGTTACATCACTAGTGTAGTATGATTATTCATTTAATTTACCTTTATTCCATTTGCAATATTGTGTTTGTTTTACTTTTGAAGGAAATGCTTGATTATGCAACAGTAAAAATGTATTAGCCAATTATGACTCCAACTAGTTTATTACTGACACACAGACAGAAGCGGTCATAACAATATTTGAACAACAATTGAAACACAGTGGTTGCCGTGACAACACAAACATTTTGTCAGTGTAATCACAGCTATAGATGTTTCATCACAGGCAAGATTGCTTCACATATTGTATATTATGCTACATACTTCCTGTTATTGGGTGCAGGAAACAAAAGATGAATATTTTTGATACCAACAGGATATCATTAGTTGTAAATAGGAAGAGGAAACTATGGGACAGGGTTAAACAATCTCTTTCTTCAAGAAATGGACGAAGAAAATAATAGGGAAAGGCAAGAAAATGGAACATTTGAAACATAGATCAATGGGAGGTTTATGTGCAATACTTGCGGTAGGTGGCAGGTGTATTATTTCTTCAATGTGGCTTCCTCTCTGTGTTCTGTCCAAAGCCTTCACCACTCAGGAGGAGGTGGATCCAGCAGGGTGTATGCCTGGAGGCTGCACTATTGCCTTTAGCAAACATTTTTTACCTTCGGCTTTTGAAGGGAGAAGGATCGGTTTGGAGACTCACCCAACAGCCAGGTTTTCCAAGCTAACGAGGGCATTTTCATTATTGATGTCACACTTTATGTTTTCTTATTTATGGCACTCACCCTGAATGCAGAATACTTATTTTGTTCTATACTTACTATGCTGTTTGTCATTAAACTTGACATAATTCTTAAATGATTGCACACAGTTCATGTATAAACTTTGTACGTAATGTTAATAATGTAGTTATGTCTCTTTGCAGAACTTCAACACAAACATTATTCTAGATTCAGCCACTAGCCTTTAGTTTCTGGACAAGACTAATATTACATCTGGAATAATGTACGTTAAGGAAAATAAAAGTTAAGATCTATTTAGTAACATTTCAGCTGCCACTAGTAAAATTATCATTTTATAAAACCATGAATAATTATGATTTGATCATGCTCGCACAGTTTTATTTGCCCTCTGGTTAAATAGGTAGTGATAACAGATAAGAGTTACAAATGTATTAGCACCGCTGACCCTGTAGAGGAAATACCCCCTCCAATTTGTGTTAACACATTCAAACAAATCAAATTGTCAGAAGTTTTCATACTATGAGAGCGTAGCTTGAGTTTCAATGAGTTTTGAGGAAGTGAAAGATTCATTTACATTTTAAACATTTATAGAGGCTATAGTTAGATATTTACGAATGGTTTATTTTAAAGAGTTTATTAACTGACTTCAATTATACAAGTAAAACTATCCAAGAGCTTATTACAATAAGGTGTATAAAAACTGTCAATGCTTCATTAAATGTGTATTTAATTACTCACCTAAAGGGTGTTAGTATTATAAATACAGTCTGTAGTTTATTTGGTTTAGTTCTAACTCCATAAATATAATATTACAGTGTGTCACTTTAACGATGAGTGTTCTTGATTTTAGTGTAGAAGTTGAATTTGGTCTAATATAAACTCTGTAAATGTGTGCAACTGTGGTGTGTGTGTGACTGTGTGACATTAATCTTTTGATGTGGTTAAGTATGTGTAAATAAATGAGAATAAGGTGTGTGTGTGTGTCACTTGAAAAGACAATGTTTATGATATTCTATCAGTAGGTTATTTTGTTACATAGTTTAAAAAGTAATACAATACATGTCACTTTCATATTGAGTATTCAAGTGCGTAATTTATATGTTTTGGTATTATTAAGTGTGTAAATAAAATGTTAGTAAAGTGAGTCAGCATTCTTTATTTTGGATGAGTCATTGATTTTGTTTAATAACTTTTAAAAGAAGTAATACAGAGTATAACTTTAAGTGAGTGTTCTTGATTTGAGTGAGTAGCTAATGGACCTATGTTTTAGTATTAACTATTTAAAACAACATTGGAGTGTGCCAGCGTTTTTGCTTTTAGCCTAAGTTGATTTGGTTTAGATTTAAATGTGTAAATAAGTGAGATAACAGTGTGTGTCACTTTAAGAGTCAGTCTTCGGGTGGCTTCTTGATATTAATAGAGCTGCTGTGTCTTCCTCCTCTGACGTAATGCCTACAGCGTACAGAGAGACAGGCAGAGAGGTCCTGTCACAGCAAAGCGATAACACTAGTCTGAACAAAAAATAACAGATAACGAGCTGCTCTGCTTTGGTTTGCTGTGGCCAGCAAATCGTGGCTCTGCGCGGCTAAATAACATACTATAACATCGGAATATTGCACTACCAGAGCCAACCTCACTACTAAGCAGTCGGTATCAGCTTAGTTGAATGTGTTGCCGTGAAGCCTTAACTATCTCTCTTTCCCTCTCAGACCAAAGAAAAAAGAGAGAGCCAAGACACTGTCACCCCGTCCGACATCATCAACAAACAAAAAGCCCACAAAGAGACGAAGCAGCCAGCCAAGCAGCCAGCCACCATCTTAACAGGCTGCTGAAAGAGACACACACTGAGAGAAAAGAGGCTAATGCTTATTTTTGATCAACAGGTAAGCAGCACTAAAAGAAACACTACCAACACAAATGCACACCATGCACACAGCCCTCTCTACTAGTTGGTGCAGTGGCATTGTGAACGGCAACAAAAAAATGCATCGGCGATGCACGGTACGAGTTGTTGATGGCGAAATGCATGCTGTCGGACAAGTGGGAAGATGAAATGTGTTCGTTTTAAAAGGAAGCCGGGAAATCAATGGTGCTTTAGGAGACAACATATTGCTCTGTGGGTCGTTAGTAGTTTTACGACGGACAGCAGTCGGTTTGCGTCTTATGTAACTAACGGCCTGAGCAGCGTCGGTAAGGAAAGAGGGATCTGCTGAATGAGAGAGAGGAAAAGAGCAGCACCGCTTTGAATTCACATGGCAATTTACATTTAGGTTAGGACACCCAAACGCTACACAAATACAAATTGGGGGGCTACTGGGGACGGCTACTGCTTTGAGTTTGAAGCCAACACCAAGGAGTCGTGGAGTGACTTAGTCGCCTCAAGTAGGTTTGTGTTTTTCTAAGTTTTGTTTCTTGTTTTTGACATTTATTTACGCTAAGTGGCATCCCGACTTGAGTTGCTTCAAACCGGTAACTTGCATTGATTCTGTCCCTTCAAAGTAGCTCTCGTGTAACTTCTGTGTGTTACTTTTTGTTGTTTTCATTGATCACTTTTTCATTACTTTTGTGCCTGCAAACTTGATACTCAAGTTCAGATTTCTTGGTTCTCCTCTTATGACGCACGTCGTAGATAAAGAGTGAAAGAGGTTTATGCTGAAAGTTGAACGAGTTAGATGCTTGTAGTTTACTGGGTTAAAAGTGGAAAAGAAGTGACACTAGATCAAAGACATTGTGTTTGTCAAGTGGTTTACAGCCGGTATGGCGCTGTTTTTGCACCTCTTTCATTGTTAGGAAGTCCGAGAGCGCATGGTGGATGTGGATTGTCGTAAAACATCCCCAAACATCCTCTCTTATCAACTTTAGTACTTATTAGCTGATATATCACGCATTTATTTATTTGTTGTCTAACTTTTCATGGGTGATGCCGGGAAGCCTGAGTTGCATTTCCACTCAACTTTGTAAAAGTCCCCCCCCCCTGTTGTAAGAAACTGTGATGTTCCTTTGAGATAAGGGAGCTGGGTAGGCATGACAACTCTGTGGGGAGAGCAGAGTATGTGAAGCCAGTACAATGAGGCACACACTGCAAGGAAGCTTTTTACATAGTCCTTCACAGTTCTCCAATTCTGGCCCCTAAAGAACTGCTTGTGTGTGGACCGACTTTTATTCAACAGATAACCTTAGTATTTTTTTTTTTTTAAAGCAGAGCAGGCATGTGGGACTTTACTCTGACCCCACACTTGTTTTACTGTTGTTTGAGAAGCTGAAAGTTTGTATATTATAAAGTGATTTAATTAGTTAATGTGTTGAGTGGATACACATGTAAAGTTGCAGAACTTTTGCTGGCTTTTTTCCTATAGTACTTTAAAATAAGAAGCATGTATCTTCATCTTAACCTTCACGGTATTTCAATGTCAAGCAGATGTTTAGATAAAATGCTATACTGACTTTTAAAAAGTAAAGACTAAGTTTGACTTTCGTGATCTTAAATACTCACAACGTTTTGGTATGCAATATTGTCTATTACATTTAAAAGATATTCTCTGACAACTTTTGAAAGTGTTGTTCTCGGACACAGTAAAGCTTAGACATACATTGTTAAAACTGTAGAGTTACTTGAGGAAAAATACTAATGAACAAAAGTAATGAATGTACTTTTAAAGTTGTAGTTTGTTTTGCAATTTCCGAAGCAACATACTAAGACAAATCAAAGTCTGAGACTATAAAAGCTGAGTAATTGCTCTTTTTGAGCACTTCACTTTTACATTCAGCAGTGTATGCCAAACATATTTTCTTTTTAACATGTAGCATTATGACATGTTTGTGTTTTTCTTTTATTACTTTTTACTAAACAAAAGTCACAGAATTGTTTTCAAAGTTGAGTCAAAGTTTAACAGTACAAGCTCTTAATATTACTGTCCCACGTAAAGTTCAGTAAATGTCATTTCATTTAATACAGCTCCATGCGTAACCTTTTAAAACAAATTCCTACAAATGTAATAACGTTTTTCTGTATGCCTTTTGCTTTTTTAATTGACATGGATTTGATTTATTAGTTGGCAATGGCAACACAAAGTAAATCAGGATCAAGGGCTTTGACAGAAATGAACTTTTAATATATTTGGGACTATTTTTCAGACTTTTCTTTGCTGTCCTGTCTTGTCCATTTTGCCCGTTTATATTTTTCCCTTGGATAAACCAGCCTTGTGTATGGTTGCTCTTAACATTGACAAGTCGCATGTTCAGTTCATTCAGTCTTTTATGCGCAGACATGTATGTATTATGTGCCATTGTTAAACTTTTACAAACATTTAACATGTTTTTTCTCAGTAAAAATCTGATCTATCCATGTATCAATCTATCTCTATTACTTTAAAGTTTTTTACTCTTTCCAGACACTGGATATTATTGTAACGTACGTACGGCCTTGTTCGTAGCTGCTATTAAACGTCAAAACAGTTGACGACTTCCTAAAGAGAACCTCTGCTTGTAAAACTCTTTCCCGTATGTGTGTGTGAGACCGAGTGTGGGAGAGCGCAGCACTTTTTCGTGTGTGTCTGTATGGGTGTATGTGCCGAGGAGACAGCCATGGCTTACTCATATGGCTGCAATATGTGAAGTCTCTGCGGTGGAACTGGGAAGAGAGAAAGTTTTGAGAGAGGGAGAACACATGGAGCGAGGGAAGTCAGAAATGTCCTGTTCAACTAGCTGGAATGTATCTCCTGTGTTTTATTGATGGTTTGATGTTCTGTAAGACATGAGGAACAACTGTAGTGATTTTGTGGGCTGCCATGCATTTTGTCTTTGGTCGTTTCACAGCAGTACTGTGTACATGCGAGAACGGTCGGTTTGAGAGTGTAAAAAGACGCTTTAACTAAGTCCAAACGGCTTTTCTTTGGGAGAATTGAAAGGATTTCATTGGTGGACGCGAGGCTGTTTTAACTACATCAAAAGTATCGTGGTCATAAAAGAGTTTGGAAAGAAAGAGACAAGTTTGTTTCATTCAAACTACATCTTGCTTTTTGTTTTATATACCTTTTGGAAAGATGGTAAATTAGTATCTCTTTAAGAAAAAGTTATCTGTAGTTATTTTATACTTTTATACACATTGAAACCATAAACATGGGAGCCAGAGTGTTTCTATGTAAAGATAGGAAATCAGACAAACTATTGCAAATACTGGGTCACCTTCAGAAGTTGTAGAAACCTTGAATGAACTGAATATTACAAAATACAATAACCTCACTAACACTACATACAAACCGATTTTTCAACTTTAAAAAAGTTAACAGTACTGATAAAAGTTTGTTCAACTTATGCCCAACTTTTATGGTGCCTCCTTTACATGATACTGTAAGAGTTTTGGGTTAGGTTAGGTATTTTTTTATGCCTGATGAAATGTGTCTTTATTAAGGAGACATTTAAGGAGAATGAATTCCTGCTAAACCTCCGTCCCTTGGTCGCTGCTGTCTCCTTTAAGTCGGGACTGATGCGTGTTCTCACTCAAAACGCTGTGTCCTGCTTCAGCTTGTTTTAATACTCATAACTTTCATCGTGGCTTACTATTGCTGGTTCTGTAAACTGTGATGGCCTTTTATCATGCTAGCAAGTAATCCTTTGAACAGACCAAACCCTACCGTTTTGAGTATGTGAAAGTAAAAAAGGGTTTGTCTCTCTTGCTTGAGGAGATACCAGAAATTAAATGTAGGTAAATATTTAGGAATTCTAGAAGTTAACTGCTAGATGTGACTGAAGTGGCGCCAGTAGAAGTTGTTTAAAACTTTGATTTTACCGTTTTATTTAAGTTTTACCTCTGGCTTTTTTCTTATTGTGTATTTTGATTTGTCAGAAGATTGTTTAAAAAGCTTTGCTCAAATTATATAGCACAAGTGTTTCCAGCTGACATCACCTAACATTTCCATTCCTCGCTATAAAGCTCATGTCAGTATAAAATCTGTGCTTTTCACAATAAAGCAGATCCTCTTTTTAAACCCAAGTAATTCAGAAGGCACAGGATGTTTTTTCTTTGAAGTTTTTAAACGTTTTTTTCATTATTTGCATTCACAACTCCCCTTTATTTCAAATTTCTGCACCCATTTATTTATGAACATGGACTGTCTTAACTTACTGTTTCCAATAAGCAGAAAACCGATAGCATCTATTAGAGCAATCAGCCATTATTCATCTCAACCCTGCCTGCATTTCATATAAAGGAACACATCCATTTGTCACGGATAGTTTATTTAAAGAAAAAAAAGAACTTTTTGCAAAGCTTCTGGCTCATAGCTCAGCAGCTCGCACTTATAGTGTTTTTTATTTCTCTCGTATCTCAAGGACACACTTATTTTGAACTTATTTGACTGTCTGGGCACATTGTTCTGTTTCTTTTATTGCTTTCTTCTAGATACTTGTAACGTGGGGGATGCAGGGATTGAAGCGTATTCTCTTGTTGCAGTTACTGGAAGTCACTCTGGAAAAAAGATTGTCTGCTAAATGCCCCAAATGTCATCCCCACTCTGTCTGTGGTTAATGCAGCCTTGTTTAGGCTTGAGTTAGTCTCTAATGTCTTTGGTCTTATTTTAGACTTTTAAGTCTGTCTTTTAGACGGCCTGCTTCAGATAACGAGCACATGGTCTTGGTTTAGGGTGAAATGATTCTCTTTCACCCCCCACCCCCCATTTTGTAGTTTTTTTTTTAAAACAGACAAATCCTAAATATGGTACGATTTTTCATCCAAGTGAGTAAATAATCCTTCTGTCACGATACAGTGGAGGCTGATAAAGTGGTGGTTTAGCAGATTAAGGCAAGAGTAGAAGGTGATGAGACTATGTTACCCAAAGGTTGTTCAAACCACACAACCCCTCCTTGCACATTGTAACCTACTCTA